AGGACGTCGCCGTGCAAAAAAACCCACCGAGGGCAGCAGTTCCGGTGAAAGAAGTAATTAAATAAGCTGCATTTTCCATCACGTACGTAGAACCGAAGAGTTCTTAAAATGTGTTTTTGATCCGGATAGGCAAGGCTGGTGATTGACAAGTGTCAGACTGGACTTCAGATAGCTGGACAAATGCTACAGCCACACAAGGAAGACAGGAAAGATACCGCTATCCGACGAATACTATTCGGCGAGGAAGCGCCTAAGGGTGTGTTTGTATTTCCTAAGCAATATACAGACTCGCGTGTACCGGGCGTTTATCAGTTTAGACCTCTTTACGGTCGGCAGGGCTGCAATATTGGCATTGAATGTGGAGTTTTTGACCAAAATTATTTCGGAAATATCCTTCCGGCAAAACACGGGCATAAAACGAGACAGACAGCTAGCGTTGGGAAAATAGTCCGAGGATATCAGGAAACTGTTCTTAGGCATTAGAGAAAGACAAGTAAAATAGTGGTTTCGGCATAGTCTCGGCCGTTAATTCTAGGAAATCGATTATGATGTCCAAAAATGAAAGTCGTCTCCTCAGGGAAAGCGACTAAGACGTAGTAGGTTTAAGAGCCGGTTCGACAAAAATTGACATGTCGAAAAAGTTGTTGTGGCTTCGACATTGGACTTTACCGCGCGAAGAAACATGAGTTTAGCTCCTCAGATCTGCGACGCCAATCAAAAGGCAGGAAAATATACCGCATAGAAGACAACTGAATTCGAGTTAATTCGTTAATATAGCAACCGCATCAAACTTCAAAAAGTAGGAGTAGAGAATAAGAAAAAAATTTATGAAGCCTACCCGGAAGATAAAAGTGTGCTTACCAGAACAGTACTAGACGACAAAAATCGTATTTCCGATAACTACATACTGACTGTATATGAAATGATTTTGATTAGGAGACAGTGGAAAAAATTTACTCTTTTAAACTAGGAAATGGAGGCTATTACCTCGCCAGTTGCAAGGAACTGTCCATCGGGGCTTGCATCAAGACAGGTGATTAACTTCCGCGAGGGACTTTGGATGAAGTTCTGTTGGCCTGTGGTGCAAGATTCAGCAACGACGACGCAACTAGGGGATGTAAAAAGCAGCCTTTGTCAGGACGGCAGCGGAGAGCCGACGGAAGTAGGTAAGGCGAGATGATCTCGAATAGGCGTAACGGAAATTATGACTTTTTGTCTGTTGAAGCGATCATCTCTGAGAGCAAGCCCACTGCTAAGCCATGTACAGAATTGGACATTTCAGTAATTGAAATGAGCAGCTTACACTGTTAGTTCCACATACTGGGGTCCCACTCGTGAAGGTCACATATTTTGGCAGATAAGTACCTTTGTAAGTTTGAGGGAGTTTGAAAGTGAATCAATTTATATTTGTCGATGGCTAAACATAAAAGAAACCTCAACGTCCTGACTGCGTACCGGACCTCGGTTTTCAAGACTGATCCTGCTATTTTCTGATCAGTTAGCATTCTAGAAGCATTAGAACTCACAAAAACCTCAAGTTATTACATCCGCGGCCACACAAATTCGCCTTCGATTCACGTTTGTTCACTGTATGCCAAAAGTGTGTGACTATTGCATGGCCCAACCAGCACACGGACTGAGAAAAGACGGACTGAGGATAAAGATCACATTGAGGAGAATATGCGGTCGCTGGGAAAGGCTTTTACTCGCCTGACGTTTCAAAGTTCGTCGCGGATTCTTCATCAGAGACATAAGTATAAACAGTAACAGAAACGGGCTGTAAGGCATGAACTATAGTAGTCCGTTCACCACAAAGAGCGAATGGATACTTATGTCCCCAGGCTAGTTATTGGTTGCTTATAGTGCAATGACTACGCTCTTCCCGAATCCGCCGAGTGTCAATAGCAAACATAAAGCAGACTGACGGGAGATGGGCTCGGACATAGAAGTTGGCCAGGAATCAACTGCCCGTCAAAGTAGGTCACGAAGGTGCTGTCACTTACTCCACACTGAGATGTCTCTTTAATAAAAGTTTCAGTTGGCAACCCTTGATGTCACGACCAGTAGCACTTCATGGCAGTTTCAAAAAATATTCAGCTTTTTAGATAAAAAATAATCTAGGGTTTCCTCTGGGCCAGATCGACTGTACTCCCCCGCCGGCCTAAGGTCAGAGTTGGCGTAGCGGTCAACGTGACGTCACAGTCTAATGCGTGCTGCAATATGCCCAAACTTGTTTTGTTCAAATGAGATTAGCCGACGGTTACGAGAAGAAAAATATGACAGGGCGGTCAGTACCCGGCGGTGTAGAGAATTGTTGAAGTCTTGGCATCGAAGGCGACAGACGCATTATTCCCAGCAGTGAAACCAAGTACACGCTCCAGGTGGACGGTAGGGCCAGCCTTGTGAAAGGAAAGGGGAAAACAGTGAGATCAAGGTTGTTCGCAGCCTGAAACGGTCGGTAAGCTGCTAAGGGTGCCATAATGAGATAGGGTTGCACAGTAAATATTTTCATAAGGTCAAATGCATGTTAATTTACGAAATTGGCAGTATAACCTCTCGTTATAGCTAGGAAGGCAGTCAAATAAGCTTTAAGAAATCCCAATTTGATTAGTATGAATTCAGAAGCAAGGAACGAGCCATTGGTTATTCAAATAATTCTAACTTAAAGTAAAGTCCCTCTGTGATATTGAATAGCTGACGCGAATTCAAAATCATGGCGAAAAAGGCTCACCTTTCCTCTTCCAAGACGAGACGTTCTACAGGGACGGCCTCTCGAAAACATACTTGTAGCAAAGACCACGTGTACTTAAAAGCTGGTCATTACCAGAAGCGACGAAGTCGGTACGTGACGGCGTAACAAGAGCTGAAAAGTTTTTAAAAAAGAATGAAACATAAGAGGAGGGTAAACGAAATGTTTTTATGTCCCAGTTTTTCGTCAGTAGCCGAATATTCTTCGAATACGGGTAAGATTTCACATTCGGAGACAGTGTGCATGGAAGGAAGGACGAATCATACAAACAGGTCATTTTTGTATCCGACATAAAAGTATTATAGGCAGCACCGTCTTGCTACTGCACTTTCCTACTATTTTAATTGGTAATTTTGGGCGAATTGCGGCAAATATCCAAAATTATTTTGAGGTTTTAGGCAAAATGATGATGAGACGTCATAATTCTAACAATAATTATTACTAGAAGGTTTGGCAGATTTGCTTAATTTGAGTTGACACAACTGTGAAAAAAACTCGAGTCGTTCGGCGGCATTTGAACCCGCCTAGCTTAGCGGTTAGAGCGTTGGCTCCCCGTAAAGGCCTTCTCTGATACGCAGGTTCAAATCCCGCCGAACATCTTGAGATTTTTAACAATTGGGTCAACTCAAATATCTATTACATTTTCTAGGAAAATCCTACTAAAATTCACTCAATTAACACTCAAATTTACCGCTATATAAGGCGGGTGAACAGAACCTGTATCTGGTAAATTTCATCTTGGATGTAAAAATCCATTCGCCTAAATATATACTTATTTCGGTCATTAAGAAATTCACCCCTATTAAATTTCATGAACGGAGGAATGCAGAATTCGTTTCAAAAACTTCAGCGGGAATCAGTGGATAAGATAAAAAGTTCTAAATCATTCTGTCGCGAATGAAAGGCCATAATAAGGGTGTCGAAGCACCGTACACGAATTACAATGGCATTCAAATAGCTTCAAAATCGACTCATTTGTACGAAAAGACGAACAAGTTTTAACTTGCACCTCATGTAAAAGGAACGGGCCCGACGAGAATTTATCGAAAGCATACGAACGCTCACCAAACAAGCCTTCCAAATTCTCTGATGGGAATATTCACAGCTCTAAAATAATCGTTTTTGTTTGCAATGCAACGCGCGTACGGAAAGAAATTAGCCCGATTTTCGGCTTTGCCAAATCTCTGAGCACAATGCAAATACCAGAACGCTACCAATGTGCATTATTGGACTTTGCGAATTCGCTTAATCCCTTACCTAAAAAGTTTCTGCATGCAATCATACCATGTGATCATACGCTGCAGAACTTTCTGCAACTGGTCTCAATGCACTGTCGTGAAGAACTATTGTCTCATTCGGGAGATTACTGTTATGTCCTATCCAGCGTCCTTCAGAGTTTTACCGTTTCGCCACGTGACAAACCTGGTCATCAAACCCGTTGTCGCAGGTAAGGCTTATTTTCCACCGAAAGATGATAAAGGTAAAACGGTTTATAACTATGTCGAGGAGATTTAGAATGTGCTTTGAAAAGGCAGCCAAAGTGAAGATAGAGGATATAGCTCTCAAGTAGAAGGAGTCACTAAGTGTTTTGCAATACTATCTGTAGGCATTATCTAACTGTTCAGGTTGACCTGCGAAGTTTTCCGCTGAAGCGTTTTTTTTCAAACGCACGAGATAACGATAGAGGGGTATCGGAATAACACGACAGATAAGGGCTTTTATTTGGTTCTGTTTATAACTCCACAGTTGGCGTAAAATCTGAAACAAAAACCCCAAGTGACGAATACGAGGTCTCAGTCAAAGCGCTTATTCTATTCAAACATGGAAGATCTCTTCCGATGCAAAATGTCCTAACGATGAGGCTTACTTTTTTTGTTTTTAAACGGCTGGTCAACTGCGTCTTACTACTTATACGTATAGGCACAACGGTCATAGGTAGTATCTCCCACTAACTCGGGCCTATTTGGCAACAGGATCAAAAAGACAAAGAATATCAGACAGAGCATAATGAAATTGAACCCGAAGCACATCTCTGACTAGAATACGAAACAGCAAAACCTTCGAGGCATTTTGCAGCGAGTAACCTAAAGAAAGGATGATCCGCAAAATAAAATCCGCAGTGCCAGTTATGATGACTGTCATTTCAAATATAAATATGTGCGAATGTCAGCCTTTCCTTGCGAGACAAAAAGAATCGATAGTCACTTACGTGTACTTAAAATGCATATGCATAGGTAGAAAGGGAAACACGGAAGGGTAATAATAACTCTCGTATAAATGTAACTGGCAGTCGTTTCGCTGTCCAGGTTATGGTGGAACACAAAGTAAAATTGGGTAGGATA